CCTTTCAATGGCAACTAGGAGGAACATGATCACCATTGTCACTTTGAAAAGCAATAAGGCTACTTATTCAAGTCATCAACATACCATTGAAGATTCTTCGACTCCGTTATTGAAAACAAAATCCATCGTCAAGTTGTATGTACTAATTAAGCCAGCTCTCAAATTAACATCAACTTCAAATGCAAGAGGGGCATAAGATCATGCCTTAAAGATGAAGCAAGTAACTCCACTATAAAAGTCAAATGGGGCGTATGAAATTCTTTTTAGCATGCAAGGTGGCTTTAACAATTCACCCATGAAAAATTCTCTATGTCAATCACCAAGTAAGGCTTCGAGTTTTGGCACCATGTCAGTGATGATGACCGGGGCAATATCTTTGGAGGATTAAATGGCTAACTTGATAAAACTCATCAAGAGGCTTTCGACTTCACTCAAGGTAAAAAACCACGAGATAACAAAGTTGATAAACAAACTTGAGAGCATGAACAAAGAAGGCCAAACCTCGATTACCAAGGCTTTTTAAGTAGATTAATTAGATATCATTGAGGATTCTACAATCAAAGTTGCGAGGAATATACATAGTATTATTCATGGCATCTTCACCATGAACCAATTAAAAGAACTCATCAAGGAAGCCATTACTGACCAAGTAGAAGCTCAGTTCAACCCTCATATTCTTATACGAAGCCATACACCTAACAAATTGACCTGCTAAGGATGTCTTCGAACTATCAACCACCAAAGTTTCAACAATTAGATGGCAAAGGGAATCCTAGGCAACATATCGCTCACTATGTGGAGACTTGCAACAATGCTAGAACTAATATCGATCTTATAGTAAAATAGTTTGTTTGTTCCTTGAAAAGTAATGTCTTCAATTGGTACACTGACTTGGAGTCTAGCTTGATCGATACTTGGAAGCAACTAGAGTGCGAGTTTCTTAACCGTTTTTACAGCACTCGTCATGTGGTTAGCATGATTAAACTCACCAATGCATATTAATGGAAGGAAGAGCTTGTCATCAATTACATTTATCAGTGGAGAAACCTTAGCCTTAATTGTAGAGATTGACTCACTAAAACTTCTGCGCTAGACATGTGCATTCAAGGGATGTATTGGAGACTACGCCATATTTTATAAGGCATTAAACCGAAGTCTTTTGAAGAATTGGCTACTTGAGCACATGATATGGAACTTGACATCGTGGTGGTTGAAAGCTTATTATTACTTATACAAGAGCCAAGGAGAAATAAGCTTGAAGGTCATAGATTTGAAAAGAGTACTGCAAAGGTCAAGGAAAAAAAATCTTTAGTAGTTAACTCGACTGTCATAAGGGTACCAACTGGAGTTAATAGGAGTGATTGGGCGACACTGGCTATTTTTCAAAAAGATGAAAGAAAGAAACTATCCCTAAAAGAGTGATAAAAAAAGAACTATACATAAAAGAGTGATAAAAAAAGGTGTATCCATTCCCCGACTCAGACATATCTAGGATGCTGGATGATTTTTTTGAGGCAAATATCATTGAGTTATCGAAGGTGAAATGCCTTGATGAAGCAAACCAAGAGAACAATCCAAACTATTGCAAATACAATCGCTTAATCAGTAATCCTGTAGTGAAGTGCTTTATGTTGAAAGATAAGATTACGAGGCTAAATGAGAATAGGGATATAGTTTTTGATGATGAAGTAGCAACCTCTAATATAACAACCATGGTCAATTTAGGACCATGCCAGTTACTCTCTACAATAAGTTTTGGCTCTTTTGAACCTATAGAGCTTGACATCATTTTGCCTTCAAGCTTCACTGCATCTTTAAGTCAAACTCCATGTATAAATCTCGCACCTCATGTTGACAACTCAAAACCTGATTCATCTGAAAATTACGATGATGAAGGATGGACTTTAGTCATGTATTGAGAAGATGAAGGAAAAGGCGCATGTAGATGACAGAGCCAACTAGAATAAGGATCTCAATGGTGAGGAAGCTAATTGATGAGCCGATACGCCAAAAGATTTAACAAAAATCCATACAAGTTAAAAATAAAAGTTTTCCAGCTCAAAGTCTAAGGAAGCCCATTACACCGAATGAGCACATGCCAATAGAGATGAGAAGGATTGAAAATGCACTTGTTGCTTGCTATCATATTGATGAAGAGAAAACTTTTATTGAACCTGTCATGAAAGAAAGTTATGATCAATCTTCAAACTTGCCTCATGTTGTATGCATAATAAAGATATCCTTCAACGACAAAGACTTGTTGCTTGGATCAAAACTCTATAATTGATCACTATTCATTAAAGGATATGTTGATGAAAAGATGGTGAATCATATCTTGGTGGATGATGGCTCGACGGTCAATATACTATCTCTTAAAACTATGAAAGAGCTGAGATTTCTATGAATGAACTCTTCCCAAGTCATCTGATGATTCAAGGTTTTAATCAAGGAGGGTAAAAAGCCACAGAAAAGATAAAGCTTGCGATACACATGAAAGATATGAAGTTCAACACACTTTTCCATGTCATAGATGCCAAAACTACTTATAATATGCTACTTGGACGACTGTGGATACATGAAAATGGTATTATCTCCTCAAGACTCCACCGATATTGTAAGTGTTCTCAAGATGGGGGCAACAAATTCCTCTTAAAATAGGATGGCCTTTATGTGGTTTAAGAAGTCTATACCAACAGAGCTTACAAAATTATCGATGTGAATGGATTAAGGATTGGGCCTATTAACAACAAATTTTTAAAAAGATATTATACTTGAAATCTGATATAACTCCTAACCTGCACAAGCTAAAATTGTGAAAGATATAAAAGAAAAACAAATTGAACTATATTATGACTTGATCATTTATTCACAAAGATATGTAGGCAACTTGAAATTCATTTTGAGCATAGTCACCAAAAAAATCCCTTAAATTTTTTTTTGAACTATGTTATAACTTGATCTTTTATCCACACAGATATGTAAGCAACTTAAAAACTACTCTAAGGTGCTGTTTGTTTACGCGGCTGTGGCTGCGTTTTAATTAAAACGCAGTTTGCAGCCGTTTGGTAAAATAAAAAATTAGTTTACTGTGTTTGGATCCCACATAATTTTAACGTTTAAAACGCAGTTAATAAAAAGCAGATAAATACTGCTTTTCATTCACTATACACGTTAATTGCACTGTTCAGTGAACAATTTAATTAACATGAACAGTGCAATTCACTGCACTGTTCACGTGAACAGTGCTTGCAAATATAGAATAAATTAAATTCACTCGCTTTGTAATATTAATTTTATATTTGATAATATTTTATCTAATTTTATTACATGCTTAAAAAATTATGAAAACGGTAATTCTTATCGAATAAATTTTATACGTAATGTAATTATAAATAGTTTAATAAAATAAAAAAAATATTTTATATAAAGTATTATTTATTTCATGATATAATATGAGTAATTAATTCTATAATAGTTAAATTTAAAATCATCAATATTAATATATATTTTTAAAAATTATTTTATAACTTTAATTTCAAAAGTTTTTTTAACCAAACACATTAAATTACTTTTTCTTTAATTTCAATTTCAACCACAGTTTTAACCAAATATTTATTTTTTCAAACCAACCTCAACTAAAAATACGTTTTACAAAACAACTTTTTTCAAACCACAACCACAACATTTACCGCAACACCAAACACACTCTAAATAGAGTCATACCATCCTTTAAAGTTATTTGAACTAATATTATTGTAGACATGGAACAAGAGGAGGGATAAACATATCCTAATATTATTGTAGACATGGAACAAGAGGGATAAACATATGTCAAAACACAATCATAGCATGAAAAATTAGGTGATAAAATACAAAAAAGATAAAATATAAACTTTATTAATAAAAAAAAATTCTATTACATAAAATAGGTATTCTCAATATAAAGTTAGAGTTACTAAAAAAAAATGATTGCAAAGCATAAAAAACCATCAACATACTATAGTTTCCAGCTATATTCTTCTAACTCTTTTTGTTTGTTCTCCAATAATGCTCTTAATTTTTTAAGAATGAATCAATTTCGCTTATCACAGAGAGTCTGTTAAATCCGGCCGAGAGAACACAATTGACTACCCAGCAGTTAAGAGGACACCTGGTAATTCGTCTGCTGTGTTGCTTGGACCGCAGCGATGAAACGATAGCCATGCTTTGTTGCCTCGGGAGGGCTTTGGAGAAGAGCATGATTCTGTACCACCAATGAAATAACAAGACCTGGGGAAGCTGTGGTTCCGTTGATGGAAGCAAATGAAATTGCAAAAGAAGGGGACGTTCGTGGTCTTAAAAGCTAGTGTTTGTGGCTGCTGCGGTTTCTTTTCACTGATATTTCCACTTGCGCTATAGGCACTACCCATTGGTGTGGAATTCATCAAAGCAAAGTTCGCGAGATGTATTGGCATTGAATTCTGGCCATAAATACTTATGTTTGAGCCGGAAACTCAACTGTCAACAGTTGATGAACTGTACGGGTTCGGGGAATAACATTTTGAATTTGCATCAGCTGCCGCTGCTAGTTCGGTACAGATTGATTCTACTGATGATTCTGCAAATGGTTGGATCTGGATGGCTGCTGCTGATTCCTCCTAATTCACTCTCACGTGGTTTATGCTGCTGATTCTGCAACTGCTTCTGGGATGAAGAGGAGCCACTAGAAATACTTGGATTTTGATGACCTTGTTGGCTTTATTGTGCCTGTATGAACGGTTGTTGTTGTCGCTGAAGCTGTGAAGGATGAAGCATTCAAGAAGAATAAAATCGATCCATTGAAAAAAAAAAGAGGCATAGCCCGAGGATGGGTTCCTTTGTAAGCTTTTGTGGCCCCAACATGTGCAGGGATTGGAATCTAGTACGCCCCATTCTGCAAAATTGCCAAGTATTGAGTTTCATTGCCAGGAAAGTTTGGGTAGTTGAAAGTCATTGTTGTAGTGCCTGTTATTGCTGATGCCATGGCATTTCTTGAAGCAGAACTTGAGCTACTTGAGGAAGCTACACTACCAACAGAAGAAGAAGGCCTCACACTGACTGGTCGGATAGAAGCTGCTGCTGCAACAACTTGTTATTGATTCATTGGGAAGATAAAAGTGGGCCCTTGCATGCAAAATATTACCATGAGCCCGAGGGGGAAGGACTTGCTGAAGAAAAATCTGCAAGGACATAGATACAGAAAATTATACAGGGACATATATCTTTCTTGTCACCGAAGCTTTAAGAGATTATACAAGGATGATTAGTGACTTGTCGCTCTTGCTATCTGAACCAGAGATTGGATTTCCAAGCCACATTCAAAGCGGAAGCACCTGAGATCAGGAGACCAAGTTGACACACTTCACAAAACAAAATGATGTTATGCACGAATGAAACAAGAAATGGGATACCTGTTACAATATTTGATGCAGGCAACACGAGTAAGATATGGGGAGTTGCTAGGAAGGGCAGTTACTGGGGCTGTGTGATGATGCTGCTTGGTAACATAGGTTTTCTTTTATAGCCACACCAGGGATCTTCTCCTGATTACGAAAAGAATCTTCATGTCTTGTGAAAGGAAGGTCGGCTACTTGCGTGAGAAAGTACAGCTTGCTGTATTACGCACAGATGTCAGACCAGGTGATGTGCTCCTGTTTGAAGACTTCAAAGCCAAGATCGAAGATCTTAACCTTTCAAATCAGGTTCCTGACATGGCTGCTTACCTTCATTCAACTCGAGTTTTAGGAATCTTTGGTTATCATGATCCTAAATATGCAATGGCTGGACAATTGACACAGAAAAGTGATGGTCACAGTTTTGGAGCAGTTCTCCTTGAGCTTCTTACTGGGAGGAAACCCAGTGATCGTACCATGCCACGTGGACAGCAGGGTCTTGCTACATGGGTCACACCTAGACCGAGTGAAGACAAAGTTAAACGATGTGTAGATCCAAAGCTGAAAGGAGAATATCCCCCTAAAAGAGTTGCCCAGTACTTGGCAGCTGCGGCAGCATTATAAGTGCAGCATGAAGCTGAGTTCCGGCCAAATATGAGCATTGTTGTCCAGGCTCTCCAACCACTTCTGAAGGCTACCGCTCCTGCTCCAAAAAAAAAAAACCAAAGAAATCATGAGTGCAGTATGAAGCTGAGTCACGCATACCTGCCAGTGGAAGCTGTGTTGAAGGTAAAGAAAGAAGAGAAGGAGCCGTGCTATTTACATGAAAAAAATTCATTAACCAATATGAGTGCACGCATATCATGAGAAGAAAGAGAAAAGGAATCAAAATCTTTAATATTTCATAGCTCATTAATTTCTAGCCGGAATTATAAAGGGATTGCATTGCTGAAATTCATAATAATAAGATATTCAAAACAAGATGTTTCAATGAACACTACTAGTAAAAGAAAAAAAAAAAATTCTTGTAAGCTAGAGTGTTGGTTATCATTCAGGTATAAAGATAAATTTAGTTTAGTTCTGAATATAAAACAGTTTTAAATGGGATATTGAAGTTAGATATTCTATCATTTGATTTGATAAATTTCAATTGAGATTGGTCCATAAATTTTTAAATTTAATAATTATATTTTAATTTCACAATAAGATTTATCCATTTATAGAGAAAATCTAATATAATTAAATTAAATTTTAGTTGAAAATATAAAACCTTTTCAATCATATTTTTTGAGACATGCCCACTTGTTTCGAAAGTAAGTAAACTTGTATCGAGGGGGAATCTGTAAAAAAACAAATTTTCTACCAATCAAATTTTACCATGTGCTATTTTAATTTTTTAAAAAGAAAGAATAAAATAAAATATGAATAAATAACATGAAAAATAAATGAACTTTCATATATTTCTTGGTCAATAAAAGATTGACACTTGGGATAAGATATTTAAGATATCTTGTTATAAATACAAGATCTTGTCATAAATGCAAGATCCCGTCAATAAATATCAACCAATAAAATTATACCATGTGGCATTAAAAAATGACCTGAGAGCCCTTGTAGATCTCTATAAATAGAAGGCCTCAATCTAGAGAAAAGAAAAAGAATTTTGGAAGATACAAATTTCTTTCAAAATAACCTCTTCAAGCAAGGAAATTCTCCCCCTCTTTAAGCATGGAAGCTCTCTCAAAAAATTCTTAAGCCTCTTTAATTTATGCTTGAAATTTACAAAGAACAAAGCTATGTTAGATCAAGCCTAAACACCCCATAAGAGTTCTTCAACAACACTTTGAAGACAAATCAAAGATATTCTTCAAAGCATCAAATCACCAAATCTTGCTAAGATCTGTTGGATCAAGCCTAAACGCCCCATAAGAGTTCTTTGACAACACTTTGAAAATGAATCAAATGTATTCTTCAAAGCATCAAATCATCAAATCTCGCTTTGCGATACATGCTTAAATTCATGTTCTTGCAAAGCACAAATCTTGGCTTGATCAAATAAATCAAGTCACCATATATCAAATTCAAGGAAAGAATTAGAGAATTGTCTTTTTCTTTTGAAATGATACTTTAGATAAAGATTGTATCCGGTTATATATTTAATAAAATCATATATTTGTACACGTGTGTTTGTTTAATTTCGGGTGCTCAAAATTGTGTTTACACTCCGGTGACCAATTCTTTCTTCTTCATTTTTTTACTTATTTATTAGCTTCTCTCTTTCTCTCTCATGTCATATCAACTAATCTTTTCTTTTATTTTTAGCCATTGGATCTTGAATCTCATTTTCTGATCATTGAATTTTTATAAAATTTTGGATTAATTTTGTATATGTTAATTAATTTAAATGAGGTATGACTCTCGAAACAATTACTATTTATAATAATGGTTATGACTTATATTATTTTTTCAAAATCTTTAATAAATAGTAAAAGACAGGAGACTTTGATGTATTTTTAGATAATGACCAAACTAAAAAGCCTCCAACATGACAGGAGACTTTGATGTATTTTTAGATAAAGACCAAACTAAAAAGCCTCCAACATCAGAGGGTATAGGGTATAATAACTTTGAAGGATGAGATTATTTAAGGAGTGTTTGATGGTATGATAATGATTATTTTTTAAAATATTTTTTATTTAAAAATATATCAGAATAATATTTTATTATTTTTTTAAAAATATTTTTGACATCAGTACATTAAAACAATATAAAAATAATAAAAAATATTAATTTAAAGTAAAAAATAATTTTTTTAAAATTTTTTTCAAAAAAAACTTTTAAAATAAAAAATAAATATGCCACGTCAAGATCCCCAATGAATGAAGGTGTGGTTGTGTCGAAAGGTGTCTCTCTATTTTTATTTATTTATCGTATAATCATTATCGCAGTCCCGAGCTAAAAAGAAAAGAAAAGAAAAGAAAAAAAAAGCAGGAGAAAGGCAGTTAGTCAGCAGGTGGGAAAGGAAAGCGTAAAGCTTTGCTGAATTAGTGAGGGAAAACGAACTCTTGACTTTGGAGGAATCCAAATTTTTGGCGTTGCCACCCTGAAACCCTCCCCCTCCTCCCAATTTACACATTAAAAAAGCGCGCGCCTCTTCATTCATTGGCTACGCTCAGAATTCAAACCACCCCAAAAGGCCCCCTCCCTCCATCTATGGAAAACCTAAATAAAAAAAACTACTTTAAAATTTTCACCCCTCCCGCCCACGCTCTCCATCCATCCATGAAAGCCAAAAACCAAAATAATATCTATGAAAACAGTTTGCCAAAATCAAAACACTGCTATCATTTTCCCACTTCAAAATTTCACCTCCCATTTCCCCTCCAAAGTGCCACCATTATTATATATACCTATTCTTGCCCCTCCCATCTCATCACCACCTCTTCCTCCCCACTCTCTCTCACGCTATCTCTTGCAATGGCTGTCCTCTTTCATAGCCAGTATGACAACAAGGAGAACGCGCCCCCTTTCTTTCCAAAGCAAGATGCTTTATTAGTTGCTAAATCTAAGTCTCCACTCCCTACAAGCAACAAAAGAAGAGTCAGGAGACCGCTTGAGGACATTACGAACCTCTTGAATCAAGAAATCTTTCTGAGGTCAGTTCTTGATGATAGGATTCGTTTTTTACAGTCACTTCCTTCAGCTTCCAGACTGAGATGTGTAAAGAGGAGAGCTGAAGATGGTGTTGACCCGTCCTGCAAGAAGACCCAGTTGCTGCATCCAAGCAAAAATTTTAGATAGCTCTATTAATTCCACCGTCTAGACAGTCATTCTGCTTGATTGATGGTCCATTGAATCTTGCTTTCGTTTCTTCTTTTTGTGGTAAAGAATTAGATGGGTGAACCCCAATTCCAAAAGCAAAAATATATATACAAATTTGATGTCAATCAATGGAAGCTCCCCAATTTATTGCATTGGATTTATCAAACCTTCCGTTATTTTGGAGTCTTGTTTGATTCGCTTGGTATTAAGAATACAATAAGAGGAGGATTTGGATTTCAATGCCAAACAGGATTCACCTTCAAATCTTCTTTACTATAGGAAATCTAATATCTAAACAATTCCGTTAATTCTAAAAAAGAAAGCAGTTCTCATGTCTTTCTCATTTATGTGTCAATACCCAAGATGACCTGCGAATTCTTGTTTTCTCTTCACCTTTTACTCTAATTGTCCTTGGAATAGAGGTTCTTGCCAGCTTCGGCTGCCACAATCTTAGAACTGGATGCCCATAAAAGGGAGATTAAAATTATAACAAATGACCATAGTTGTGAAATCTGTCTGGCAGGTAGATCCATTGAAATGTGAAATTGGGGTTTAGTTTGGGCTGAATTTTTTATTTTCTTAAAAAACTTTGAAATGATATCATTTTAGAGGGTTTTCTTAATAAAAAAAGTTATGATCGACTAGATTAACCCGGTAGATCTTGAGGAGTCTTGAGATGGGTCAGCCTCTAAATCGGGTTTTTTAATTATGCAAATGACCACCTCCAATCAATTTATCTGGCTGCTTCTGACTTTTACGTAAAATCATATACTGGTTATGAACATAATTGAAGACATTAATTGAGCTATTTCTTTTTTCCTGTTCAATTTTTTTTCCTGGTTCATATAAGAAAATGTATGAGCTTGTCAGCTAACTCGGAACAAAGGCATAGGCTATCCATACTTTAGGTTGGAATCATAGGTCAACTTACCTGGGAATGATCTAAATAGTCAGCCAGCTTTGCGCAGAATTCTCTGGTAAGCAAGCACGTTAATAGCTGCAGAGATTCATATACATCAAACTAAAGCTAGTGTCATAGCACGGTACCTGTTAATTTGCTTTATGTTACAAGGAAACATTTGGTGACAATCGATTTCATCATGGTCCAAATGTAAAGCAGTTGATCAGCTTTAATTTCTTTGGGCAGAAACGAAATTAGGCATTCATAAGATATGCATGGTGGCGGTGCCGGCCGGCCATGAGTGGGTTCATTCTTAATTCTTGATGGAGTATATTGAACAGAATATACAAACTAAAAAATTACCAAGTCATGACCTCCTTCATTTTCTTTCATACCACATGATGCACATGTTAGTAGGTGCAATAGAGATCACTTGTTGATGCTGAGGAGTTGAAACAAAGAGATTGGTACAAGGATGTTTTCTCTCGCGACAAAAAAAGTCCTGACTGGCACTGGCACATTGTTAGAACCGAACTGGTCGGTAATTCTTTTAGCAATCAGAAAAATTTAAAGGAGTCACAGCCATATATATATCACCACTAAAAACACAATAGAATGTGATGACTTCCACCCACTTTGATTATTATATGAAAAGGGATCGCTGCTGATCTCTATATATTTCATCCTCCTCATTTGTTTCTCTGCAAAACAAGCTCAATAAATTTTCTGAGAGAATAAGAAAAATGGCTAGCTTGAGATGTTATCTGTGCGTCCTGCTAATATTGCTGTCATTTGCACAATCCGAGGCCCGCCCCCTTGATCCATCTGTTGTACGGAGGAACCTGATCAGGACAATTCGAGCCCTGGGCGAGAGTGAAGCTGTCGGTGATCAATATGCAAA